GAAAGGAGAACTGCCAGCCCCGAAGGAGAACTACCGTGCCAGGCAAACAACAGCTCCAGCTGCTGCTGCCGTGCTGCTGCCCCTCAACTTTGCGACTGCCTCTTTTGCTCTGGATGCTCAGCCAGCCCCGCAGGAGAACTACCGTGCCAGGCAAACAACAGCTCCAGCTGCTGCTGCCGCCCCTCAACTTTGCGCCTGCCTCTTTTGCTCTGGATGCTCATCAGCTGCTGCTGTCACCTACTGGATGCTCATGCCCCTCAACTTTGCGACTGCCCTTGCTCTGGATGCTCTGGATGCTCATCAGCTAGCTAGCCGATGTTACACAACTGAAGCACACACAGGTCTTGAGCTCTTGCTCGTCAATCGTGCAGCAATTGAAGCACACACAGCTCTTGAGCTCTTGCTCATCAATCGTGCAGCACTTGAACTTCAAATTCACGGCACGGCCGAAGACCGCTTTGAGCTTGAGCCAACTTACAATTAAGGGCTATGGGGGGCTACGAAACTAGTTTCTTGTTTAGCTTAAGAGCCTAGTCTAAACTATGTTTCGAGTTCGGAAGCCCGAGGCTCCGGCTGGCCCGGCGTGGTCATCTCTGCAGATGCTCTCGCTGCCACATCTTTGCGGATAGTGGTTGGGGGCAGCTTTTAAATCTATTGTAGGGTATAAGTAAGGGTTCTATGGGCCAGCTAGCTAGTTTATTTCGAAAGGTGGCTCTGGGCTCTGGGCTGCGCGTACACCTAGTATAGGGTCGCAGTGGGTCGAGGCTTCGTGTATGGGGTTGATCGGGTCAAGGGACCTAAAACACAATAAGAATAGTTTACGACTTCTAGCATACTATATGGCGTTTCCCGTCACAATAATAATAGTTTATGGCTTCTAGCATACTATATGGCATTTCCCGTAGAATCTTACTTCCAAGAGGATTCAGAAACTTATTTGGAAATCTGAATATCTGACGCTGGGAGATATTCAATCCAGTTTCTCCTGTTAGCATGTCGGAACAGGAAAAACCCAGAACTAGGGCAAAATACTTCCAGACAATTTCTCCTGTTAGCACGTCGCAACAGGAAAAAACCCAGAACCAGGGCAAAATACTTCCAGACAGTTTCTCCTGTTAGCACGTCGCAACAGGAAAAACCCAGAACTCCTCGGATCTAGCCATAATATGCAAGTTTTGGCATCATGGGCATCTGGAACATCCTGCCATGGTTTGGCATCACGAGCATCAGCATATGGAACATCTACGGAACATCTCGCGTTTCGCCCTGCCGGGTCATCGGCACAAAATCAAGCAGGGTAGCTGTCCCAGCTGAGAAACAAGAGCACCCGCAATTCTTTGTTTGGGTCTCTTTCCGGGACCCCGAATGAAACCACATCGGCCCCGAATGCGACCAAATTGCCTTGCCTGTGAAGG